GAAAAAAGAAAAAAGAAAAAAGAAAAAAGAAAAAAGAAAGAAAAAGTGAGAGAGACAGATGAAAGAAAAAAGGAAAAAGGGACAGAGAGACAAAAGGAAGGAAAGAGAGAGAGAGAGAGAAAGAGAGAGAGAGAGAGAGAGAGAACACATGGCTGGCAAGCCACTCCTACCAGGTCACATGGCCGGCAAGCCACTCCCACAAAGGAGGCCACGCCCACAAAGTAGGTTCAAAAAATTTGGAAACCCACCACTGGTGTGTGTGCATTGGGGTATTTGGGAATCCAAACAAGTTCTGAACAGCAGTAAGAATTACACAGAGCGTGGTTATCTTTTAACCATTTTCTATTGTTGGAAGAAATATCCATCTGTTCCAAGTGGGGAGAAAGACACTGGAAACAAGGAGGGGTGATTGGAAAGATGGTTTAATGGAGTAGAACCATCAAGCACATGAGCCTAGTGCAGCTAAACACATGGAGTGGAGAGTGAATGTTATTTATACCCTCTCTTGGTCCTTGCCCTAGAGCTTCCTGTTCCTGTGGCAAGGGCATGTATTTTATTGGTGGCTATCAGACTCCCAATGGGGCTATGCAAGGGTCATAGCTGATTTTGTAGGTTATCTGAGTCAAGCTTGATTGAAGCTTGAGCGGATGCAATGAAGGGGCTTCGTTGTGCAGTTTCTGTTGTGGCTGAATGACTTTGGCCTGAAAGATAATCCCATCCTCCTGGAGTCTTTTGTTTTGTAGATAGACTGTCCCAGTCCTTCTCAATGGGCACCAAATTTCTGCTGGGAACAGGGGAGCTGAAGCTCTGAGCTTCTGCCTTTAGAAACATGTTTCTCCTTTAGGGAAAATATAATATTCTGCTTTTTTAAATATTTCCTAAAATATTTCATTCTTCCAAGAGGGGCAGGTGCTAACTTTCTACACTATATATTTATCTGTCAGAAGAACGACGTGTTCTCCTCATCTGATCCTCCAAAACATGGGTGTCAAATTCGAATCGTGTGATGTATCACAATGTTGTTTGCCTTTATGGAGCCAGGGTGGGCATGGCCTGCGCGTGATGTATCTGGCCCACGGGCTGCCAGTTTGACACACCTGCTCCAGAACAATTTAGCAGGGGTAGAGGAGGGTTAAGATGAATAGATGATAATGTAAAGTAAGGTAAAATTACCTTTATTATCATTTTTTACTGGCCAACATTAAAAATGAAATTCTTTTGCCTGCTCTCAAAAGAAAGAATATATCTACCTGTTCTGACCCCCTCCTCCATCCAGTAACGAAAGCCGAGACAAGCTTAATTAGAATGTACTTTAATAACAAGACCGGAATCTCGGTGGCTGAAAGCCAAGCAAACAAACAGATAAGGACTTTGGCAGCAACTCAAACCAACCTTGGCAGCAATCCAGCCTGCCAAGTTAGTTGCAGCACTTCTCTTTAGTCAATGCGTTGACTTCTGCAAGAGGCCCGTGTGCATCAGCAGTCTGTTTTATAGGCTGGAGAGGAGCCTAATGACCACCAGCTGAGTGTAATTACCTCCTGTAATTGCATAATTGTTCCTGACGCCTAGTAGCTCTTCGATGGCGTGCATCCAAGAACAACTCACTGCTGGCTTCCGGCTCACTCTCCCTTGTCTCCTCCACACTGGTCCAAGGCTCAGGCGCCTCCTGGTGGCCAAGCAGCCTCTCTGTGGCCTGCTCGGAGTCGGA